TTCTTCCCTGCCTGTAAATAACTGGAAGGGGGAAAAAATAATCAAAACCTTCCAAGCAGCTGCTGCTTCTCTCTGATTTTCATCGCGTCTGTTATTTAGAACAAAAGGCTTGGAGTATCCCCTGTGTAATTTCTCAATGCTGCCAACACAGATGGACCGGGTTTCCCCCCCACCAACAAAGCCGACAGATCCAGGCACAAGTTCTTCCACCAGAGCCTGCTCAACTTACCAATGTACACAGGGGAGTAGTTAGTCTTGACATTTTCATCTAGATAGGTCACACCAAGAGTGTAGAGCGGAGTGGCTCCGACGCCGTGCAGGAACTGCCCGAGCATGAAGACAAACCTGTAGTTTGCGAGGCTGGAGACCGCCTCCGTGCAGGGCAGGCTCCGGTTAGAGGCGCACACGCCAACGTCCTCCGAGAAACGCACCTCGTAGCGGCCCGTGGTGAAGTGAGGCAAGGCGAAGAGCCCATGCCCAGCACCCCCCAGCCAAGCCACCGCGGCTTGTGGCCGTTCCCCCCAAAGTAGCTGACGAAGGTGAGGCAGATGCACGCCGCTATGTCGTAGGAGCTGGCGATCAGCCCGCTCTGGTAGCTGCGGAGATCAAAGCGCCGCTCGATGGAGGTGATGACTGTGTTGATGAAGCCGTTGACCGTCATTCCTTGCAAGAAGGACGCCACGCAGAGGAAAAAGAGGATGCCCTTGGGCGTGTTGAAAAACTGCAGACAGCCTGGTGTGAAGGCCCCCCACCCGCACGCAAGTTCCTCCTCCTCCGCGGACACATATTTGACCCCTTGGCCGTACTGCGCTTTCTCTTCGGGGGCTGCGTCGCAGAGGGGCTTCACGCACGAGTCCGAAGGGCTGCTTGCGCTGGAATATACAGTGCCGTTGCTTAGGGGTGTGTTACAGGCGTCCTTGGGGCTCGGTGTGTCAAAATTCAAGCCGTTCTCAACCGGAGCAGATGGACTGGAAAACACGAGCGTCTGAGCGAAAGGGAAGCCATTTTCTCCGGTTAAATTATGGGGCATTTCCATGAATGGGAAACCAAAGTTGAGCAGCAGGTTGGGTTCTGGTGGCGGGCAAGGGGTAGGGATTGCTCGGGATTTCTCGCCGGGATGTCTTTGCGGGGTAGCGAGGACGCGGCTGCAACTTTGGGCACTTATGGCAGCAGGAAGATGGCGAACATCTGAGTCAGGAATATTTCATTCTGCAAAGAGAACAGGAGCCGCCGTTAGCCAGCTCGGCATGGGAAGCACCCCAGGACTGTCATTCAGTCCTGAAACAAATCCTCGCTTCTGCTCTGATTCCTCCCAAATCTGCGAAACGGCCAGTCGAACGGCAGCAGTAACCGCGTGAGGGCTACGCTGCCCACCCCGAGCTGACGCAGCCTGGAGCCACCATGACAAAGACAAAAAGCCAACGCGCCCGTGGCAGGACAGGCGTTTGGACACGTTCACGGGGTCTAGCTTCAAATAGTCTTAAGTGAGGCCGCTCAGGCCTAAGAAGAGAGACGGGTACGTCTGGAGGGAGCTGGATTACCTTGCTGCGAGCTTGTCTAGAGCGAGGTTAGATGTCTACATTAGACTGCACAGTTCTAGGAGGCTAAAATTAGATCACGTTAATATCAGCCCTTCTGCTGGAAATGGGTTTTTAAATAGAAACATCTGCCTGACAAAGTTTTGATTTTGCATAAAATGCACCAAAACTTCCCAAGTGTTGCTCCTTTTGTAGGATGCTTTTTCCTAAACACATCAGCATTTCACCGTGCGTTTCAGCTTCCTGCCGAGTGTTTTGGTACCTCAGCAACGCATCTATGAACATTAAAAAAAAAAAGTCCATTAAAGGCAGTCTCACTACCAACTGAGGCCCCTTATCCTTTTTTTTGTTTGTTTTAGATCAAAGCAATTCTGGTTTGACACCTGGACCCTTACCCTGCCAGGCACAGCCTTTTTACCTTTCCTTTCTCCTATGTGAACCACGTGGAAAGCTAAAAGTTTCCCACTGTTAAAAGTCCTTTGGTGTCTCTTTCATTTTATGGTAATAACAGCTTATAATTATCCTGAAAAAATGTCCACAGTCAAACTGATTTTATTTCAGGCCCCTAGATCTGTTTACAGCTATTCACTAAAATCCTTTCTATACCTAATTAGACTGCATGTGCCATTTGAGAGCAAGCCAGAGAGCACAGGCAGCTGACTCTAAACTGATTATCGATCGTGCATTGCCTTCTTGCAACTGGTTCTTGTGCTATGTTGTCGTAGTAGCTCAGCATCCAACCACTGCCAGCACAAAAGAGCATTTTTTGTTAAATGGATTGGGGGAACTATAATTTATGAAAATAGTGAAGCTCTCCCTTGAATAACGATCCTAAATACGCAACAAATGCTAGAAAAGAACTATTTATTACAGAATATCTTCAAAGCATCCTGCGTTTCCTAATCACTTGGAACTGGTGAGGAGCTGTCAATACTTGTTCAAGAGGTTCCTATAAAAAATGCTCCTATTTAGATTACAATCAGCCTTCTGAACAGGGAACGGGAAAAATGGTCATTTGTTTTCCCAATAAAACAAGCCATGTTCTGATCACTGTAATCTGGGAAAATTGCAGCCTTTGGCAAAGAAGTTAATATGCATCTGCACGTTGCTGGAAAAGTTTATTGATTGTGGAGTATGGAGCGTGCTAGCGCCGATTTGTTTCTCAGTGCGGGTGGTTTTTGCCAGCACTGGGGCAGGCGGACTTGGCAGCATTTGATGCTCGGAGGACCATCAAGGTCCTACTTCCACCTGGGAAGGGCAGAGGATACAGCAAATATGCAAGCATACAACCTTTAAAGGATACTTTTTACTTTGCAGGGTTCTTTGCACGCCCACATCCAGCCTCTTCCGGGTAACACACAATTTTGCTGGATGCCTACAGTGTAGGATGACCCAGAAGCATGTTTATAGTTCATGAGCCACTTCTACTGTGTTAAAAGCTACGTTCTTTGGGCGCTGTCAGCACAAAAATCTCCAGGCTACTGTTAACATGTATAAATGCAGAAGCTGAGTGCAGGCTTTGAAATTTAGCTGCAGAGCCAGACTTTTGTAATGTGTTATCATAAAAAAGCTACCGTCTTAGATGCAGGGCTATAATTTTAAACTCTTTCTTCCTCCCAACGTCCTTAAGATTCTTATGGCTCTAAATCTATTTTCTCAGTTTTGGATGTAATATTGGAAGCAATAAATAAAGAGTGCTGTAGCCCTCTAACTTTATTAAGGTCAAAAGTGATCATTAGATATTGGATTAGACTTTTAGGGGGGGAACTGGTCACGTTGTTCCAGCGTGAATCAGAAGTGCCTTCTGCAAGGAAGCCGAGAGGCACCAGCTGCACCCTTCCCCACCTCACGCATCTGACACCACATCGGACTGCACTCATGAAGAAGGTTACGTAGCTGGAGGCTGATCTTGCTGTCACTGACTTCAGCAGAAGAAAGAAAAACCCGCCTTGCTTGGTTGCTTAGCTTACATCCTTCCTTCACTGGCTTCCAGAGAGACCAACAGCTAGTCCTAGTGATGTCCACCTAAAAATTGCCAAGCCTCTAAAACCAGATGAGTGTATCCAGAGGATGAGCCATCTGATTTATCTTAGGTATGACTGTCTTCCGTAGAGCCCCATGTCTCTTCACTGACCCGGGAACATCCAGACGCTTCAGCCTCGGCGCAGATGCCAAATGCCAGGAACAAGAAAAGCCACCCCAGCAGCTAGGGTCAAAGAGCATTTAGCCAGTAGTTTCCCAAAGATTTTTATTAAAGTTTTCTTTACCTTGAAGCAGGAGCTGGGCTCCTAGATCGCAGCACCCACATCATCCTCCCCTTCTAATCACTTAACAGAAATGCAGGGAGCACACATTTTCAAGTAAGCAACAAGTCTTCCTTCCAAGGAGCAGATGTTTCCCCCTCCACACACAAAAGCCTCTTTTTCTGCCCCGAAAGTACACCTCTTGGCCTTCTCCGGCTGTATCTGGACTAACAATTTGTATCCACGCACTCCACAAAGGAAGCCAGTTTGCTACACATTAATGTCCACCAAGCTGCTTTTTATCTATCAGTGTTTCTAAACGGTAACCGACACATTCACTAGCAGTATTAGCTTTCATGGGAGCCATGTGCCACTTCAGAGGACAAAATATAATCTTTAGTCAAAAAAAAAAAAATCCAACAACTTTACGCACTTCCAAATCATTCTTATTCATCTCAGCCACACATTTATTGCTTCTCATTTACGTCTATTTTTACTGACTCAGCTGGTGATTTCTTGCTCACTTTGAACCATTCTCAATGCTATTATCTTGAAGCTACAGATTTATTCATTTTACTGCATGATTTTATCTGAATTTCTAAAGAGGTACAGCTGGTTCCGGACTGTCAACATTACCAAGTCAACACACGAAAAGTAGCCAGGCAATGAAAGCATTCGATTTGTACTTCGTTATGAAATTTGTAAAGATTCCCTTCCCTAATATTTAACAGTAAATCAACAGTAAAACTTACAAGCTTTTCATCAGATGATGATTTAAAAAGTCACAGGACCAATTAAAAACATTTTGTATCTCTGCTGGGGACCGCGTTTAGATCAATACTATGAATTAGTTCCTAACTGACATGTAAAATAATCCCATTTGCTGAAGCATGCCCAATAACAGTTAGTCTTCCCTTTTACTCTACGGTTTATGACTTTTATAGGGTATTACTGCGGCTAACAACATCCTCTCCTAACTTCTGCTTTCCAGAGCTGAGCGCAGTTTACCGTATGTGGACAGACTTAAGCAGCTCCTCAACTGCGGCGCGTGCAAGGAGGCACTCGCTAAGGGACGGCGCGACAGGCCTCCTTGCACTCCCGGCTGCTCCCGTTTCTGCCCAGCAACGCTCCAGCACCTCCCAGCATCTCCCACGCTCCCGCGTTTAAATCCCACTTTTCCCAGCTAGGCTGGAGGACGCGAAGCCAAGTGCTTGGAGGGTTTAACGGGACGGCGCAGGCGGCACAGTTTGCCCCGGGCTGTCTCAGTTACTCTCCCCCCGACGCGCGAGCGATCCTGACCTTGCTAAACGGACACTCCGACTTTGGGAAAAGTTTGGATCTGAGTTTCAGGCTCATCTGTTACTCACAGAAGGGACAAATACGTCTGGGTTCGTGCTTAACTTTTGTTAGCAACACATACTGATTTTTTTTCTTGGGTAACTTGGGTTATAAGGACCATCTGTATTACTCCTGTCGCAGACGATAAACACCGTAAGGATAAAGTGTAATCCACTCACGGGCTTACAAACGGGAAAGCCTCCCAGAAGTGTGACAAATCCCCACCAGGGCTCTGTGAAGCCACCAGAGTTTGTCCTTACAAACGCTAATTGAGCTAAAAGGGAGATAAAAGAATAAATGCGACCAACAGCTTGTTCCCTGGTATGTGCAACACTGTAAATCGTTTCCCTGGCAGGGAAAACAATTATAACAATTACCGACGTTATGCTGCTCACCCTCGGTCCGCGGATGTGCAAAGGCTGTGCTTTTAGCTTAAAAAGCCTCCCTTTGGTTCGGCAACAGGCGGGCGGCTGGCATTGCCGGCAGCAGCATCGTGCCCAGCCTGTCGCCCTTCGTAAGCAAAGAGCCACGCTGGGGGTAAACAAGTAGAAATATATACCTTGAAAACCGATGCTGCAGCTGCTGTTTCGAGGCAATACGTTCAAAAATAGACTCACTGTCCGGCCTCAGAGAGCTAAGCAGAGATCTGGGTTATCCAGAAGGACTAGGACCCGGCTTGTGGGAGCTGCAGCCCTTCTTCTGACCGCGTACGAGCTGGAATAGGGCCGTCCTGCATGGACAGGACGATTTCAGCAATGAAAAGCACAGCTAAAGAGCATCTCGTTGACAACACGCCCTAAGCTGTGCTCTGCCTTTAGCAATAGCACGGCCGGTACCGCTGGCTGACTTTAGGGGAAAAGGCTTCTAGAAGTGGAAGGAAATAGCAATATCCTGGCCCGCTCCTCACGTTAGGAGGTGTTTTACATGATTCGTCCCACCAGAGCCATGGGATAGAGCAGTAGAAGCTGGCTTTAAATTATCACACGGCAAGGACACGTTTATAATTAAATAAATTCAAAGGAGTAAAGCTTATCACTCACAAAATCCTTTGTATATTTTCCAAGCGCTTTGCACTCGCTAGCAAATTAAT